GTAGTAGTAGTAGTAGTAGTAGTAGTAGTAGTAGTAGTAGTAGTAGTCGTAGTAGTAGTAGTAGTAGTAAGTGGTAGTAGTAGTAGTAGTAAGTGGTAGTACTAGTAGTGATACTAGCAGCGATACTAGTAGCGGTAGCAGCAGCAGTAGCGGTAGTAGTAGCAGCAGCAGCAGCAGCAGTAGTAGTAGTACTCGTAGTAGTGGTTGTCGTTGTAGTAGTAGTAGTAGTCGTCGTCGTCGTCGTAATAGTACTAGTAGTATTCGTACTGGTAGTAGTCGTAGTAGTAGTAGTAGGAGGAGTGGGAGTAGTAGCAGTAGTAGTAGTAGTAGTACTGGCAGTAGTAGTAGTAGTAGTAGTGGTGGTAGTGGTGGTGCTAGTAGTGGTCCGGTAATCCAATCCAGTGGGACAAACGCAAAACCTATCGTTTTTTCTACCCTTTTGCCCTCCCAAGTCATTTCTCCCAATGAGAACCGTGTTGGTGGTAGCAGTAGTGGTGGTGGTAGTGGTAGAACTAGTGGTGGCAGTGGTAGTGGTAGTGGTAGTGGTAGTGGTAGTGGTAGCGGTAGTGGTAGTGGTAGTCGTAGTAGTAGTAGTAGTAGTAGTACTAGTACTAGTACTAGTACTAGTGGTAGTGGTAGTAGTAGTATTAGTAGTATTAGTAGTATTAGTAGTAGTAGTAGTAGCAGTGGTGGTAGTAGTAGTAGTTGTAGTAGTACTAGTACTAGTACTAGTACTAGTACTAGTAGTAGTAGTAGTAGTGGTAGTGGTGGTAGTAGTAGTAGTGGTACCAGTACTAGTACGAGTAGTGGTAGTGGTGGTAGTAGTCGTTGTAGTGGTAGTAGTGGTAGTAGTAGTGGTAGTGGTACAGTAGTGCAACCCAGTGGTACAAACCTCACCTTAATGCAAAACCTATCGTTTTCTCTACTTTTTGGCCATCTCAAGTCATTACCCCCAATGAGACCCATGTTGGTCGTAGTAGTCCTCGTCGTCGTCGTAGTAGTCGTGGAAGTAGTAGTGGTAGTAGTACTAGCACTAGCACTAGCAGTCGCGGTAGTGGTAGTAGTAGTACTAGTACTAGTAACTAGTACTAGTAGTAGTAGTAGTAGAAGTAGTAGTAGTAGTAGTAGCAGGAGTAGTAGTAGTAGTAGTAGTGGTAGTAGTAGTAGTAGTAGGAGTAGTAGTAGTAGTAGTGATAGTACTAGTACTAGATATAGATAATATATATATATAAACCTTGCGCTCGCCCTTGCGCCTTCTTGCGCCTACCAGGCAAAAACAGCCCAAAAGCTGATCAATCTTTATGACATGTCCTCTCTAAAGCCTGTCTCTATACAGGGGTTTCCAACGGCTCCCTACTCTTGGTAGCACCTCGAAGGAACAGCAGCACACTCATGGGACCATTTGTGAAAAATTGATGAAGTCAGGGCGTGTTTGGGTGATTCATGTGCGGGACAGACGTACCGACCAGGCTTTCTCAACCATTACATCTGAGCTTCACTCACCTGGATCAATCTCATGTGTTGCGGGTACCAGATATGTTAGTCCATCTCCCAACAGACCCTATCTCGTCGTTAGAAGACCCTTTTCAACCATTATCTTCATATGTTGGGTAATCTCAAAGATTATTGTACCCCCGACGCTGACAATGTCTGCTACTTAGAACCCAAATACTGTAGTTTTGTTCCAGCCTCAAACCTACCATATAGGCATTATATATATAGTATCTTCCAAACAATGCAAAAAGGGATTGTAAAAGGAACACCCTGCACCAAATTCAGCGTCACTTACTTTTTCTATACACACAAAAACATTGCCAAACACGTCTGCCAGTATTCTGAGTACCGAGTGCCAATAAATAGTCACTTCGCACCAGCAAGCCTCCAAAGCGAGCAACTGTGAACAAAACACCGTGCTGATCGGGTTCCGCACCAGTGGAAACATCTCTGGCAACAGTCAGCCCGTGCCTTAGAAAGCTCGAAAGGTCTTTTTCACTCTAGACTCTAGAGCCTCTAGCTTTGACTGGTGGATCAAGCTAGAATGTAGGGATTACAGTCTACGACTACGATCCACGGCAATCCCAACAAGTGAATCCTACTTTGAAGCTCTTAAAAGACACACCGCAATCCCAGCCCTCGCACCAACTGGATCCAACTGGATGATCCTAGGCAAAAGGAACATAGGAAACAATTACGTACACCCACGAAGAGCCGATGAATTCACTTGAACCTATATAATCAACCTGCCACTTCTGCAGCGACCACCCGACGAGCCAAATTGTTGACACGGACAAATCGATGTACAACACGATTTCGAATCTTCGCTGGTTGAACAATCCTGTGAATATAAATAGCCCTGCAAAATTCACAAGCACTCCTTCGAAAGAGTGGGTTCCCAACACCCAGTCCTCTGCAGCCTCCACATTGACCTACCCACACCTCCCAACTTGCCCAGTTGCAGATCCAGGAGGTTCAGGAAAAGCTCGCCCGATCTGCGGTTCACGGCCGTTCCAGGCATGGATCCCAAGAAAAACAGTTCGCCCACGAGTTGTCAGAAAAGGATGATATGCACCTTTGAAAAGGAGCAGATTGGTGTGTGTGTGTCCCACCCTGGACAAAGGGTCTCACCCCACCACTTTCACACAGGCAGGGGATGGAGACACCTGTATTGCTTCTCCATCAACGAAGCTGGCAATACATGGTGAGGATATCAGTTCCGGACGCGGAACTGACGTACCTGCTTTCAACACACCGACTCCAATGGTCCACCCTGCTGCTGTTTCGTTGGTTCCATGGTTGTTCTCATGATAGACCCCAAAACCTTTTCCCACCGCAGACTTGCAGCAGACTTGCCGCTTTGCCGCCGTGCGCTTTCCGCAGTCACGTAGGAAAACCTTTTGTTGAAACATCTACAATTGCGCTGACTTTCCACCTTACCGTTGAGCCATTCCTTTCCTCGGGAGATTGCATTAACTGAAAATCAAAGTTCGAAGTGTGTGCGTGCTCCATTTTCTGGAGGTTGGTGATGGTCACCGAAGATTAAAGCCTGGGAAAAGCCCCACTCAATGAGTCAATGAGTCCACCTGACAGGATCTTCGATAGAGGTGCATCTGAAGATCTCGTCCCAATGCTTGCAATGGGTCAAGCGGGATCAAACGGGTACCATTATACTTTAAGACTCGGATCATGTCATGGTTCAAAATCCATTAAAAAAGGCCAAGGTATTTTTTTTCCATTCTAGTCCAGATTGTCGAAGGAGTAGCAACGCCACTGGCATTCATCTCAAGATCAAAGGTGGTTCACCGTATCAACCAGTGTGAAATGCTGCACAAACCCGACAAACATCAGCAAAAACGGCCTCACCAAATCTCCCTAGTTCGGGGCCGAACACAAGGTCGCAGCCCACCCTGTGTAACGCGCTGAAACTCCCAGGAACACAATGTTTTCCTGTAAAGAAAAAAACACACAAATGTAAAACAATGTCCTTCGAGGTTTTGCCCGGGGCCCCCAGCTTTCGCCGATTCTCGAGGACACCCGTGAAGGGCTCCCCGGTCTTCACTGCGCCCCTGAGGAGGTGGGCGAGGCTTAGCTTGGAGAAGGATCTAAAGAGAGCATCCTTGGTGGACATGGTGAATGGCTTGGAAGGCTCCAGGAGGCGATTGGCAATTTGAGTCATTTGCAGGCTTCAAGAAGGAACATTTGCGAGACACCGACAGGGGAAGGTCGGTCTAACTGATCACGAGGTGACTGGGTGGCACCCCATTGTAGAGCCACAACATGTGTTTGCCTGTGAAAGATGTTCTGGTCCAGCGGGTTGGTTGTTGACCTTCCTTATCATTCCCTAAGCGTCTAAGAACCAATCAAATACCGGATTGCTTGGAGTCAACGAAACATTCTTTTGGGATCTTAGTGGAGGCTTGCAGTGGGCGGGCTCTTCACCACTGGTTCCAAACAGGCTCATGATACCTGGACAAGCAAGCTGTTGATGGAAAAAAAATCCGAACACCACCTGGATGAGAAGGGCCCCACCTTTGACTCGTTGTGTTGGGAACTTGGAACAAACCGATGGATGTCAGAAGTTTTCAAGCTGTATGTGGGCTTTAAAGCAACTCTGGAAGATCTGGCCAACAGGATTACAACAGTGACTTCCAAACTAATGTCTTAAGTAAATCCGTCTGGGTATGTATGTGTACAATATGAGGATGACTTGACCAGGGATACTTCTGCAAAGAAGCTTTCTAGATTCAGCCGACAAGTGTGGTCAAGACAATCGTAGAATTGCCTAGAATGTTGTCACAATGTAACAAATGACCTGGCAAGCAAGCTGCACAAGGGCTGTCGGGGTGGTCAAAGTCACCATCCTTTACACCAATGTAGCTTTTAGCTGGAAGGGACGAATTGAGTTGATTGTTATAAAATGTAAACATCCTGGACAAAGTCATGGAGCCAACCTGGGATATCTACTCATAGCAATGGGAGCAAAGGACACAACCAAGATTAAGTATCATACATACACTGTATTGAATTGTCATCAAACGTCTAATAGGAACGGCTGCTACTTGCATGGGTCAACTTTGAGCTCTCATCGTTTAGGGCCTAAGGGCGGCATTTGATAATCAAAGGCATTGCATTGCACGATCCACACTTGTTGCCAACTGGTTTGTCAGCAACTGGCAATGTTTTTTAAAGGCAAAGAAGATTGCACAGCCCTGCTTGTGTGGTGAAGATATCCAGGGTGTGCATGCGCGCCCAGATCCCATCTCCAGAAAGCGCTCGCCATGGAAGATGTAGTACTGTAAGCAATCCTTGGAGGTGTCCATTTCCCTTTCTCAATGGAAAAGCTCAAGGGCACACTCTGTCACCGCGTCGATGGCTGCTGGTCAGTTCAAGGGTCACAGCGGCGGCGCCCCACCACCCTTCCAGTGGCTTCGCATCAGCTCATCGCGACTGGCGAACTGTCTACTTATCCATGTTCATCCTTCCAATCGCTGGCCTGCGAAATCAGTTTGCTTTTGCCGTGCCCCACAAACGTGAGGAAGTTGAACCTAACCCAGGCCCACTAGTTCACTAGTTATTCAGCTCTCCACCCAAGCCCAGCTGTGCGGAACTCGCAATGTTTAGGTCCCAGCTGAAGTGATCCAGCACACTGCGTTCGCCTCACCAAAAATATTAATATCCATCAAACGGTTGAGGTATCGTTATCGTTGTTGAAGAACCCTGATCATCCAGCATACCAAGCAGGGTAAGGCGGCCGCAGTCGATAGTTCAGAAACAACTCTTCTCCTGGCTGCACGGGTTGAATGGCCTGTAAAGCGATAATGGGAACAGGACGGCCACTTGGAACGTGGACCGGACGCCACTGGTTGTCCAAGTACCTAAGACTTGCTCCAGGACTACGGGCCCGGCAAGAGAAGAAGCACAGCAAAAAAAAATCAAGAGGTGGCTTCGAGATCCTACGCTCCCATAATTATCTTTTACAGGACCGCTAACACAGCAAAAAAAGGATGTACACTACCAATCCCATATCAACAAAATAACATGTCACTTGAAAAAGAAAGTTTTGATGTTCCAAAAACAAAAATGAATTGTTATACTAGCGTTGTTCCTTTTTGGGGGGCAAAGAAAACATCGCAATGCAACGCAAGGATACCAAAGACCCTGGTGCAGGCGACCCACAGCGAAGGTCTCTTCGAGGGACTCATCCAGTTGCAGGATCTCCACGTTTGATGATTCACTGTGATTCACCAATTGCCCAACCTGTGGGATGGCACTTCAAAGAAACATCGATAAAGCAACAGGCACCCCATGGCACCTTGGCTTTGAGTATTCAATGTTTAATGGTAACAAACTGTGCTATGTCATGTGTGCGGATTAGGCCAACCACTCACAAACACCGTCAACCTTACGAGTACCCCAGTAGCTACCCTGTCCCCATCAGCCCCCACCGCGAAGGGGCTCTTCACACCCGGCGTCTTCACACGTTCTTCAGCCAGAAAGCCATCCTGACTTGTCCGAAACAATTCGGAATTCGGAAATAGACAATATATATCTTTTGCTCGACTAACCCATTGCTATTCTTGTTGATGAAAATCCTACGCCGCGTCAAGACCGATATCACACCAAAAAAGTGAACCACTTGCCCATCTCGAGCAACTCTGCCTTCAACCCGCTGTTATTTGGAGTGTGTCAAAGATCGGGTGGCACTACACCCTAAGCTGTGATGTTGGGAAGAGATTGTGGAAAAGTGCAAAGATATGCGTCCTATTTACTGAAGCTTCGTCAACCTGAGCATCCATAATGCCACCATCGCAGAAAAGGCGGTATGCGGCTAGTTCCTCAGCAGTACACTCGCAAAGGTCGGGATCCACTGCTTCTGGGCCATGTGCGTCGACCAGCGCAGCCCAGGAAACCTTGGCTGGGGCATTTGATGCACCTTCTGAGTGCAGCGCTAAGCAATCACGCGGTTTTCCAGTGAGGCAAAAGTGTAAGTGTGAAGCTCCATCCGTGCTACATGACATCTTGCAGTGTACGCTTCTAGTGTATGCTGAAGACTTGTTGCTGGGAATCAGTACACCATAATAAGTACTCTGTCAGAGCCGAGCTCGACAGTTCTCCATATGTAAAGACTAGTGAACCAAAGGCCACGCTGTAGCATTTGAAGCTATTTTTGGCAGTGCTTTTGGAGAGGAATGGACGGATCATCCTGTATATCACAAGATCCACAGATCCATTTACTGACAGTCACCCGACACCAGAAACCAGAGGTCAATCGGGTATGCACTCGTTGCATTGGCTCAAGTGGAAAAAGAGCGTGAGCGAGTACAGTTGCTCTTCATGGTAGCGGAGCCATGGCATCTTTACCAGATCCAGGATCT